ATATCATTGAATCCATATTAATGAAAACAAGAATCGACTTGGACAACATAGATAGGTATGTTTTATTACATCAGGAGTTCTAGGTGCAAAACTTGCATTATCAGTAATTAACTCCTTGAATGCTACTGCTTTTCCCGTCAAAATTGGGTGTGGCATTTTGCACATTTATATGTGGTTTTCATTATGGTACTGTAACTTTGTTGTTAGTTTTGGACCAGATGGACGCAATCTCCGATTTACTGCCAGATCACAATTAGTGTGAAAATATAGAAAAAATGTGTTTGTGTGAAACAAGACAAAAGTTGACTTTAGCATTCAAAGTTTTATTAAACAAAAAGCCATTGGACTAGAGTGAAAGTGTGGGAGAGTCATGTGGAAATGACTTATGACATCAGTGCACAACAGTGCACATTTAGTTTGGTAGTATTGAAAATTGGTGGATGAAATGTCAGAAAAACAATAGGGTTAATATTTAATCTCTAAAATTAGTAATTTATTATATTTTCACCACTATACAGCAAGACTGTTAATTGTGGTTCAGATACATATACCTATAGGCATAAAAAATGCCCGTGGAGACAATTAAGTAATTACGTACATTGGCGTAACACCATTGTTAGAATGTTTACAGTGAATATTTCATTCATACACACAGACTTTGTGATCACCAGGGGATGACTCACAGTGTAGACAGTGGTCCGATTCACACATACATGTAGTATTGGTATAAACTAATTTATATTCAAACAATGTCATGTAATGCCACACTGCATTCAGGATATGTCCATTTATTGAGAAGTTATATGCCTTGTGATGCGTGTTAGATTCAATTCAGTGGTTTTGTTGCATTTCTATTCAAAGAAGTTGACAATTGTTATGGGTTAGATCAATACTTTGGTATGTCTTTTTTTTTTTAACTTATTGCTTCCCTTTTGTATGTCTTTAGAATACCTGGTATATTCAACTGGGATTGAAACGTGTATTTGTTTGTCAGTCCCACTTCAATGCAATTTCAGTGAGTCATTGACCAAATATGGAAGTTAATATTGTACCAATTGTCAAGTTTTTAGTAACACTATATGGTTAATTAGTCCATCCCTGGGATGGAAGTTGACCAAGTAAGAGATGGAAGTTGACCAAGTAAGGAAGTTACTATGTCTTTACTTGTTTGCAGTGTGTTTAAATAGTGCTATTTTATTGTTGGTGTTTATTTATACGGACATGATTTGTCTGTTCACCAGTCCGTATCGCATTAACATGACAGCTGCAATAATGACCATATATGGCAGTGGGTAATGTGTTACTGATGTTTCTATTTTTAGAATACAAATACTGTGTGTCATCACATTCAAGTAATTATTTTTGGTGATATTATATCCTTAGAAATCAGAGCGCTTGGTAATGCCTTTATTTGGCAGTGTTTGTTGGCTGCATGTTTCTGGCTTACACTGTGTCTCTCATCCATCCATTGTAATGTGACCAGTGTACAAGTAATTGTGTTCAGTGTTAATTTTCACAGCTATAATTTTTTAAGAATCTGCACATTTTATGAAGTTTTCTATAATTCTTTTGTTAATTTTGGGCTGCAGAACCTGATATAAATTTTTATGAAATATAAAAAAAATATTTTGCAGGTTTATTTTGTAAAAAGTTACAAAAAAAATGTTGTGTAATACTGGCAATCATTAAAAGAACACTGCAGGGGGAAATTGACATGTGGTGGCATGAGGTTTATGTAATTAAATTTTGTTTTGTTTAAATTTATACATTCAAATGTTTGAAAACAAAATTAAAATCAATGGTTTAAATAATGTTAATGAATAATAATACCAGTAATGACATTTCTATGATACTTCATTAGGGGAAATTTTTTTCTGCATTAGAAAATGGACATGTATAACTGTGAACACATTCACTCTGATAATGAGATATTCCACTTTTTATGTGCTACAACTGTAACTAAAAATGCAGAGTATCAAGGTTAACCAGCGGTTAATTTACTATTGACAGGAATTTTACAAAAAAATGTCTATATAATTGAAACACTGAAATAAATTACACAGTCATGCACTTAAATGTGGTCTAAAAATATATGAGCTGTATGTGGTACTTGTTATTAAATACTTTGCTGGGGGCTTATAGCCTTCCATCTGTTGCTCTTTATGCATTTAACCCAGTACCTGATAACAATATCACCAGGTTGCATATTACGTGTATATATACCGGTATATATTTCCTGTTACATGTATAACTAAATCGAACCCATTTAATTGTCTGGTTTGGGTTGTAAACAATATTTAAGTAGGTCAGTATCATTGGGTATTATTATTGGAAAGATTGAATCTTATTCAAGGTTAAAATAATACACAGGTGACATTCCCTCCCCCATGTGTAAATAAATACACATTGAAACAAACATGGATGAATCACAGGTTGTAGCTATTTTTGTTAATAATTGACCTATGTAATCTTAATAAAATAAATATAAGTGGAAGTAAACATTCTCCATTAGTGTACAAGTAATATGTGTAATAAAACAATGAATTGTATATGAAATTCTGAATTTTAGTGTTTGTATGGGGGAATCAAATTTGGAATTAATAACAACATGCATGCAAGTCTTGATATAATTAATTTCTAGATGACAAATATGTTGTTATGCAAATTTGATATCTACATATAAACCCAAATTGCTATATTCATTTATTACAAAAGTATCTTGTGTGAAATTACATAAGGAATTAAGGAAATACATTTCCTTCATTTATTTCAGAATATTTAGTATTCCCCCTTAACACAGTGAAGTGACCACATTTTGGTAGCGTGGAAACAGTGGCATGTTAGGTCAAGTGTTTATCTAATGTCAAGTAGTAATATTAATCTGTGTGGTTGTTAATCTTACAGGACAAATCAACATTCCTGCGGTGATCTGAACAGTCATTGTGAATTGATAATACAATACATGTGCCATGACAATGTAAGGGATGGTGCTGTTACAACGTACGTATTGGTTTACACTGCTTTCAGTCATTCAATATTACTGATAACAGGGTGTTTGTGAACTGTGGTCACCACCCTGTAATTCTATCTCACTTCTTGTTTAACCCTTTCAATGCCAGAGGCCATTTTTTGTCCTCTTTTCACAATATTTCCATATTTGTTTTAAAAAAAAATATTGATCACAACATGTCACGTTGTCCCATTTGGTTCAGAATTAATCAACAAATTGTAGAAATATACATAAAACTATACACAGAATTGTTGGCGAGAAACATTCATAAAGAAAAATAAATGTAAAAATATATTGTGAGATTTGCGATTAATACAGAGTACCTTCAGTATGCATGCATGACATGCTTTCAAGTCATGGAATTTCAAGTCAATATCAATTAATCAAGCAAGTACAACAACCTACCTAAGTAGTAATGACTGAATGGAATACAGAATTGTATTACAAGCTGATGTATGTTAGAGCATGGTAAATGAGATCAAAGTACCAACTCGGATTACACTGAAAATTGGTTTACTCACCAACAGTATTTTATTGTTGAAAAACAAATGATCACTTAATTGTTGCAATTCTGATTGATATTTTGTTTCAGTACTATACCAACAGACCTAAACAACTGTTATGGATATGATTGTAATAATGACTTAGAATATGGCATGCAAGAAAATTATGATTATTACAACAATTGTAAATTAAGAGAAAGAAATCAAGGTCTCTTCACAGCTGATCAGGTAGTTATATCAGTAGTTTTATATTGTGAGAAGACGTCAACTTGTGAAAACCATGAACATGTCACTTCCATTGTACTTTTCAATTGAAGTAAAAAAACAAAAGAATTTCATTGTTATAAATTGGTGGCGCAAATAATTTGCCTTTCAAAAAAACAAGAAAATTTTGGTTTCATACCTGTGAGGGCATGCATTGTATTTTATCTTTTTATCCCATAGTTGTTAGTGAAAATACCAGTATTACAGGTATATTGCAAATATAACAGTTTAGTAGATTACAATAACGAGTCTTCACTGGGGTATTTAAATTTGTCATGACCAATCTAAGAACCACTGAAATGAATTTATTACATGAAAAGTTGTTTTTTATCTGGTGTGATTACAGTTTTGGTTTGCCTTTAAAATGATTTCATGTGATTCAAATGTGTACAAATTTTCAAAATTCTTGGTACAAGTCCCTAGCTCAGTAAAGCACAAGGTTAACTAGACTGTGTGATCTTAATAGTACTTGTATTGTTATAGAATGTGAAAGGAACCACTGCTAAATATACAAGACAAAATCCTAATGGTAATCGCTATGGTTATGAATGTCCTGAAGAAAGAGATTATTATCCTTATTGGCAACCATCACCATGGAGGGTAAGAATTATTTTGATTTGTATGAGCTTCGCCATATTACCAGACAAGTTTTTTCCCTATTCCTAGATACATATAGTTATCTATCAGTAGACAGTACTTACATAAGTTATGGTCGGATGAAATGTAATATCCAGAATGTAGTTTTACGAGAAATGAAAAAGTTACAAAGATTATAGTCTGAAATAGTGAATACTGTACACTATGCAAGGAATTTTAAGTTGATTGAATTATGCTGTGTAGACAAAATTTCACAAAATTCACTGTGACTCCACTAAAGTTATTATTGCTACTATATTTTGAGATTTCACAACCAAAGATGCATGTCATGAAATTAGTTAAAACACTCAATTCTAATACTTGTCAGCCTCTGGCAAGATGTGATAAAGAGTCTAGGGGAACCGCTTCAATTGGATAAAGTACCAGGTAAGCTGTGTGCAGTTTTGGGAGATCCGGAATACAGTTGGCAAATTAACTTTACTAGTTTGATGGTGAGAAAACATATTTATTTCTCAAAATATAAAAGTACCAAGCCAACTTACCAAAACCTAATGCATTTATTGCGGAAACATTTCCAAATTGAAGGTCAAATTGCTAAACAAAATGAAAAGGAAAATGCACACTACGAAAAGTGGTCTCCCCTGATTCCCTACATCATAGAATAAATAATGAAATGTATGTATATGACGAGTTTTATTTTTATGTTAGAAATGTATGCTATTATTGAACAGCCCAAATAAAATTGCTTAAATACAAAAATTCTAATACTTGTCTGTCTATTACTACACCCCCCAATGAAATAATTCCAACAACAGGATCAAGAGAGAGGAGAAATGAGCGAATGTTTTGTCATAGTCATCGGATCTAGTTATTGATTCAATGCAGTGATTGATTCAATTTGAACCCTGTCCTAATTATTATCCTAATGTCCTAATTATTATCAATTAATAACTCAAGTTATTGCGACAAAATCATAATTCTTCTTAATACGGTGCATGTCATGCTTGGGACCTCGCGCATACCTCGCGCATACCTCACGCATACCTCACGCATAAGAATATGTTGGAATTTATGTGGGATCTTGATGATGTTCATTTTGTACAAAATTAAAAATTGAAGTATTATTTTGTTAATAGGACATTGCTGTGATGACCAACAATGCTCGCATGTGTCCATACTATCAACAAGAGAGTGCCAATGTCAAGAGTAAATGGGCATGTGTTGTCCCCAGTGGATACCTGAAAGAGAACATCAACTCAAGAACCCCTGTAGTGCCGACTAATAAGCGGGATTGTGAGGTATAATGTAATAATGTAATTCAATTTACTGAAACTTGTGGACATGGTTCAGTTGTAATGTCAGCTGTTTATGGAAACTATGTGATAATCAAAGAAAATACTGTAGTTACTGTTCCTGTGTTCTATAGCTATGACAAGAGTCAGAGTTACTTTCCCTGTGTTCTCAAGTGTATTTGGTATGACAAGAGTCAGAGTTACTTTCCCTGTGTTCTCAAGTGTATTTGGTATGACAAGAGTCAGCATTTTGATTGATAGTATACTGGCAGATTCTTGAAAAACATTACAGATTCTCATTGTATTTGGTATTTTGCTTTTTAGTATATTCTCTATCCTGAGGATGATGAGAATGGGGAAAGAGGAGTATGGAGAGAATTTCCATCCCATAATATTCCACCACCAGAATGTCATGAAACAGAGTGGACAAGAGACAATCACCTTGGCAATGGTAAAGGTGGTTACCCCAACGTATATAATTGGACAATACCTGATGACATCATACATGAACACTGTGTTCTAAGAATGAGGTAATGAAGGAAAATTGTACAGATATTGCATCTGTTTACATAACCACCGGTTGTCACAATGTTTCTCAATTACCCATAATGCATTATAAGCAAGCAACATGGAAATTTACGACTATTGAAACAGTTTTAGAGATTATTCATCAATCTTGCATAATTGAGTTATTTTTTTCAAGAAATGAAACTTGTAAAGCTAAAAAAATTGAAATCTATTAATATTGACAATGAACCCTTTTATATATACAGTTAAAAACAGAATTATTCATACCCCTACTGAAATTTCAATGTTTTGTGTTTTTCTGGAAAACCACAGGTGGATACAGAATATTTTGGCCATAGTTGGATAACTTTACTTGAAAGGTAAAAATTCTGAATGAGTGTTGTACAACCTCATTTGCATAACAAAAAAGCATATTACTTTATTTGTATTTTGACTCATTCAAAATTATTCATACCTTTTGTCAATAAAACTGTAAAGGCATTGTTTAATACTGTTGAACTTTGAACAAATCTGAACTGGTCCTAAATGGTATCAGTGTCTTTGGTAAGGTGCAGAAATTAAGCCATGAAAAAAAATTGTACTTCACTTAATCATCATTTAAGTGCTTCAAAAGAGTGAAAATAGAGAAGTGGCCAGAATGGCCCAGAACCACCATACTTATTACCCCCATAAACGACTGTGACAGCATGTTTATTCAGTGGTGATATTCAGTCATAGGTTTTTAGATAGTGACTGCATAAGTTTCAAAACTTTTCTATATTCCTGGCTGTTTATTGACCTTTCTGAACATCATTATATAACATAGACATTAAAGTTCAAAACAGAAATTAAAGCCATTCCTCCATGATGTTAAACAATGTCTTTAAAAGGCAATATCACAGTCAATAGTCAATTGCAAAGCCTTTGTTCTTGATCACAGCATCCAGGCGGTTTCTGTAGCTATTCACAAGGGTTTGGCAGAGCTCCACAGGATATTTGTCCCACTCTTCCTTGGCTACGATCTTTAGTTCTGTCAGGTTGGAGGGCATGCACCCTCGTCTTGAGGGTTTTCCACAGGTTTTCAATGGGATTCAGGTCAGGGCTCTGGCTTGGCCATTGTAGCACCTCCACACTGTTATCCTTGAACCATTTTTTGACTGCCTTTGCACTATGTTTAGGATCGTTGT